ACTGACCTTCATGTTGATCTGCCCAGACTCAATCATTATTTACTATGACATTTTATCATGCTGCTATATGATTTTTTAATGCATTATCAGGGTTTTGGCAAGTGCAACAATTGACAAGCTGATCAGCATATTATCTACAAATTTTACCCCGAGAAATGTTCGTCTACATCTTTAATTAAATCATTTTTTAAAAATAATACCTAAGCCTTTGTTCAAGGTATATGAAACAGAAGATCGTATTGCATTGTTTACAGCTGTTTAAATGTAAATATAGTTGCAGAGCAATATGTTGATAGATTACTTTCAAATCCAGATTGCATGACTGCAAGATCAAAGAAAGATTTCGCCACATAGATCTTGGCTGGAATATAAGATATTTGAACCCCTTCTGCATCTTAGGTGTTAGCATTCCATTAAAACGTTATGATCTTACAGGCGGCTGCTTACACAAGCAAAGAAGTCTGAAATGCAAATACCTATCTATTAGATTGTTTGAAAACAACAGTCTGTAAAACTGAGAATAAAGATGGAGGGAACTCATAGCACAGACTACAACAGAGCGTCCCCTTACACTCAGGATTATTTACCAAAGTGTGTAATGCTGGGAACTCAAAGTGTATTAAAAGTGAATTTCAAATTATAGGACAAAATAGCTGAATTGGAAAAAAAACCTGCAATTCAATAATGGTTTTAGCCTAGAATGTGGAAATCATTTTAGAGAATAGCCTGGAAAATACCTCAGAAATAGAATATGCATCCTCCAAAACATTTTATGGAGACTAACAGAATCAGAAATCTTAATGTATCCGTCCTGGTAAAATATCTTATAAATAAATAAATATACCTATAACAGAAAATAAATCCATATAGCAAAAATTTCAATCCAAGTTTATTTATATAATTTATTTATAAAATATTTTACCAGGGTGGGTACATTGAGATTTCTCTCGTTTTCAAGTATGTCCTGGGTTCACAAAACACTGCATTGTTACAATAGGGTACAATATTACAAAAGATACAATATACAAACTATATACATATATACACACACATATATAAATGTAATACATAATAGGTGATAAATATATTCAACCATCACAGGTGCATTCTATAGAATAGATCGCTTAAAAGATTTTAGATTGAATGAAGATTTGACTGTGTCCCTGAGGCTATTCTATAATTGTGGTGCTCTGTAGGAAAACAAGGATCGAGACACTTTATTTTTGTATTGCTGTATGCTAAATATCGTGCTAGTACTGGATCTGAAGTTATAGGAGGTGGGAACAGCCAGGGAGAGCATTCTACTCAGGTAGGATGGGAGCTTCCCAGAAGAGCTCTTATGCACAAAGCTGGAAAGATGAAGAGTGCGTCGGGATTTCAGCGATAGTCAGTTTAGCTCTTTCAACATGTCACAATGGTGGATAAAGTAATTACATTCTGTGAAATTATTGTATATATCAACTATATGTCTACATATACTCTTAGGAAAAGGTGACTGTTATAATCTCATTAACAGATAACTTCATAGTGGTACTGGGGTATATTGCATATCCTGCTTTCCAGCAGTGGGGGAAGTAATTTAAGAGCGCACCTTATACTTCATGACCTAATACACATCTGTCTCCTGCTCAGGAAGTAAGTGCTCAGGAAATGCTTTAAGAGGAAGTAAAAATGGAGAATAGCTTCCTCCAGACAACTAACAAATCTCTCATGAGTAAAACGCTTTTATAGGTTTGCATCATAGGGGTTTATTTTTGAAACACCACATTTTGTAGTGAACTGAAAATCAAATGGCACTATTTAAGCTACGGTGTTGGACAATTTTTCGACATCAGCTACTTTGGCCTACATTTTGCACTTGGGTGTTCAATTCAATGCAGTTCACGGTTTAGTTAAAAACAAAACTGGGCTATTCCCTATTTGTCAGCAATCAAAAAATTATTTCAAATGCAAGGCCAAAATATATGAAATTAATACATAAATGACTTGGAGAATTGTTTATATTTGGCTATTTTGGGCCAACAATGGTAAATTCACTTGGAATTCCAATTTACACATTAGTGCATAAATAACCCTGTTAGTTTTCTGAAGCCAAACTACATTTTCTCTGTCAACATTAACAGGGTTATTCATGAAACCCCAGATGTTTTCCATATGGACAAAATCCGGTTAAAATTATCGCATTTTAACTGCAATAAAGCCAAATAGAGTAAGAATTCTGAGCAAATCTGCAGAAATCACCTAAATGCATTCTGTGTCTGGATAAAAGCAGTGCTTTTGCATCTAAACCCTATGCATAGTACACAAAACACCGATATTAATAAAATTCGGAATCAAACGCACCCGGGAGGATGCACATTCGCAAATTATCGTTCACTTGCTTTTTTTTTTTTTTTTTTACAATGAATAGATCATTTGAAGTACTATTTGCCTGTTGGCAGTGCTAGCAGTCAATCGGGGAAATATAGTTGAAACCCCTTGGCAATGCGAGGGTTAATTATGTGGCCAGTGGCTAGCATTAAAAAAAAAAAGAAGAAGCCTATGAGCAGGGCTGGGGATGGCTGCAAGTGATAGGAGAGAGAGAGATGGCTACTAGTGATAGGGGAGAGTGAGGAATGGCTGCTAGTGATAGGAGAGAGAGGAATGGCTGCTAGTGATAGGAGAGGGATGGCTGCTAGTGATAGGAGAGAGAGGGGGATGGCTGCTAGTGATAGGGGAGGGAAAGGAAGGCATAAGGGGAATAGAAATGAGGTGGCACTGTGGTAGCAATAACCACACACACACAGATTTAGCTCTGAGCTAGATTTACAAATATTAAAACGTTGCTGCTTACCATTGGTGGTGTAAGTGGCTGAAAAGAGGTGATATACTAGCCTCTCACTGCTCAGTATTCCTCCAGCAAGGCCTGATGGGAAGGGAAGTTATGTCACACATCCCGCCCATTACAGGCTCCTCTACTTTGAAAATGACTGCGCGGGAAGAGCAGTGTGAGCATGCACATCTCCTGTACCTTGACAGCCACTTATACCACCAACAGCAGACAGTGCGGACGGTCAGCACTATGCTGGGGATAAATGACGCAGCGCAGGGACCGGTCAAAGGGCCGCCTGGGGTCATGGCCGCATCGGAAACCATGCATGGGATGACCCCATGTTACTATTAGGGAGTATTTAAATCTAAATATGTCCCCACATATCTCCTAAATATTAAAAACTAACAGCTGAGCAGCCATTACTGCCCTATTGCTAGAAAGGCCTGTAAAATAACAGAGGGAAAAGAGACACATTTTAAACAGACACATAGCCTGTTGTGTGGTTTTTAAGTGGACCATTGCAGTTTTCAGTTCAGCTACTTCATTTTGGAGTTTCCCAATGTCCCCTTCAGTGTGAGTTGTCCTGTCATTGAGCTGCTGCATGTTAGATTTCAGGGAGGACATGTCTGCAGTTAGGAGCCTCTGTATTTCCAGCAAGGTATTTTGCATATTGTGGAGATCCTGCTTAGTGGCAGGGGCTGTGCCTCCAGGGATGTCCCCAGTCATGAAGTGTGGGTCCCCCTGTGTTGCTGGGATGTGTATCTGGCTAGGCATGTCAGGGGGATCAGGACCGTTAGTGGCCGCCATTTTGGATGGTACCTGCCGTTGTAGGAGAGTGCCAATGTACTGCTGTTCCGTTGCCTGGGACGTTTGTGGCCTCTGTGAACGTCTCCCTATTGCTGGTGTAGGACTGTGGAGAGTTGTTGCCGGGTAAGCCGGGGTCTCAGCTGCCCTATGTGCGCCCGCTCCGCCAAACAGTGCCTCGAGGTCTGCAAGCGTCGGAGTGAAGTAGGCCCCGGTCTTCTTTTTCGGTTTGGTCTGCCTCGGGTTGTATTGAAAAGGCATCTGTCGGTGCCGCGGGATGTCCCCAATCTGTGCCCGCTGGTTTCAAGCTCGGATGGGTTCTGGTTATGTTAGATTTACGGCGGATTTCACTCGCCGGGTAGGAGCTCTCAGAAATGGCGTCTAGCCCGTCTCGCGGTCAGGCTCCGCCCCCACCGGGACCTACTGTTTCACCCCCAAGTTTCTATCCATGGGTGGTCAGTGGGGGCTCTATTAATAATACACGGGAGGACCTAATGGATAAAATGGAGACTTTAATAATCATATGCAAGAGGGGAGGACCTAGTCACCCACCCATGGGCAGCAGGTCGGGGCTTCAATAATAACATAAAAGGGAGATGGACAAGCCATTGTCAACCCCTCTCCCCCCCAAAAATAATAGTGATATTTGTGTGCGTGGGGCATTATAACTGTAATACCTGTAAAATAAAAAATATATACTTAACATCAGCTTACTTTATTTTAACTCTTCTCTTCTTCAGCCTCCAAAAAGGCCAAAATAAAATCCTTAAAGGCCAGGGCTGCAGAGAGCCTCCCATTTTTAGCACAGCCACAGATTTAGAAGGGGAGGAGGCTGCAATGGGTTTTGAATGTGCCTGTGAAGGAGCTGGTCTTACCTGCCTACAGAGACAGTGCAGTGTGTTAGGAAAGCAGCTACTGAGAGAGGGAGGATGGAAATTATGTTTTAAGCCCCTCCCTCAGTAGTGCTTCCTCCAACATAGGACCTGCAATGTCTGGAGTAAACTGCTCTGTGAAGCTGGAGCTGGAAGAATAGAAGATTGAAGATCAAGCTGGGAGGGAATAAGGGAGATTAAGCTGGGGGAAGAAAAGGAGATGGAGCTTTGAGGAGAGAGGAAGCTGAATCTGGGAGATGGAGCAGGTTATGAGAGGGAGATAGAGAGGGTAGAGGGAGCTGGGGGTTATAAGAGATAGAGCTGTAGAAAGAAGATGGAGCTGGATAGGATAGTGAGATGGAACTGGGGGAGGTCAAGCTGGGATAGAGAGGGAGATGGAGCTGGGGGAGAGAGAGTTGAAGGGGGGGAGATTGAGTTTAATGGAAAATATTCAATAGCTTTACTTAATTTAATGTATTTCTGAGAGTATTATGCTGATATACGCATTTATATTTATATATTTTTTAAAATTCTTTATTTTATCATCTTGACAGGCACAGTGATATAATTTCAACATATCGGCTTTTGCAAAAGCCGGACAACATGCAACACATACGATCATAGTTACACATAGGAAAACTGTATACAAATTTAAATTTACACAGGTAGTTGACTTTTTCACTGGCAGTCAAGGGTTTTTCCTTTTCTTTTTTAAAAACAACTTAAAATGAACTTTAGTCATGACTTGCCAAACCACACGTTTTTATTGTGTAACACATCTGCCTTAGAATTCACAGTACTGGCTTCCCGTGCAAATACTCCCTTTTTCGCACTCGTAACCTTTGAGTTGCGTTAGTATTGCCTGGAGTTGTCACACACCTTTCATCCCCTCTTACTTTTTATCGTAGGTGTGTTGTTATACTTCTGATTGCTAACTAAGTGTACCATTATACTCATATACTAACTCAGGACCAGTGTCTACTCCCCATGAGTAACGTGCTTTCCTCTCTGTGCGCTTTTTGGACCCCCCGGGAAGGCACCGGTAGAGCATACCTCAGCCCCCCTGGCATGTTTGCCGTACTCCACCATTCACGCAGCAGAGTAGAAAGAAAGTTTAAAGAAGACCTCTGATGGGAAGTATAATTTAAAATTTTAAAGGTATTAGTTTTAATGCCCTCCTTCACTATTATTAATCTCGGGGGGGTTGGGGGGTAGGTAGGGTTACTTAGATTAATCAAGACCCCTAGCCACCTAGGGAGGTGGACACTGGACAATGTTATGTCCAACCCCCCTTGAATATTATTAGAGACCCACCACCCATGGGTGGGGCTTAGGGGAATCTAGGCCCTCCCCCTTGAATATAATTAGAGCCCTAATCGTCCAAAAATGATATTATAATAGCCCCCACCCACCGCCCATGGGTGGGCGCTGAGATGGGGGCATTATGTCTTATTTTTTCACATTAAATTCTCTGCGCTTGGTTAATAAGCGACTACCCCTATGGCTTAACTATGGTGCTTGGAATTTAAAGGGATCAGCACTCCTGCTAATGTTGCAAAGAGAACGCTTAAATGAAAGCACCTGGGTATGGATGGGTAATTAAATAGAAATACAGCTCTCCTTAACATTTCACATGTTAGATGAAAATTAGCTTGTTGGCTTGCAGGCACTTGTAGCAGCTTTTAGTGGGAGCTTCTCAAGGGGTGAGCGGCCAATATATCTTCATGAAGAACTTTGCCTCCCATTTGTGAAGCTCACCATCTGCCAGGCTCTAAAATAAGCAGAGAAAAGATGATTAGTTACTTGTAAAAGTCATAGAAACACAGATTGTGATGGCAGGCAAGATCCAATTAAAGATGACACCTAAGTTGAGAACTGTAGGTGAAGGGGAATATTGCAAGAGAAGCGAGAGAATAGTGCCAGGTGGAAGGAGAGGGGATGGAAATCATGGCAACTGGAAGAAAAACAATACAATATTATTTATATGTATCAAGTGTGAGTTTTAGGAGGAGATATCAGCGATGATGGAGAGATATCAGACAGGAAGAGGACTATATCAGAGAGGATGGGGGAGATAGCAGACAGGATAGGGGGAGATATCAGACAGAAAGATGACTATATCAGATAGGATAGGGGGAGATATCAGAGTGGATGGGGGAGATTTCAGACAAGACAAGGACTATATCAGATAGGATAGGGGGAGATATTAGACAGGATAGTAGGAGATATCAGTGAGGATGGGGGAGATAGATTTCAGACAGGCTGGGGACATATCAGAGATTACAGGCGGATATATCAAAACAGGTTGGGGGAGATTTTAAAGAATACAGGGGGAGAAATCAGACAGGATGGGAGAGATATTAGACAGGCTATAGGGAGATAGAGGGAGTTATTAGAGATGATGGAGAATATATTAGGATAGGGGAAGATATCAGAGAGGAAAGGGGGAGATATTAGACATGATATTAGAGATATCATAGAGGAAGGAGGATATATTAAGTTAGGGGATATGTCAGGCTAGGGGAGCTAGGTAGGGTCTTACTGGCACAACCAATATTTTAGTATTGTAAAAAATACCAGTAATGCAAAAGCCATTATTTTTCTCTGACTGGATTCTGGGAGAATGTTGAGAAATATGGAGCCAGAATATCCACCTCTGTTATAGATGGCACACTACACAGTATGCACATACTGCTATATACACACTCATTCAGACAGTATACACTGCTACACATACACATGGCTACATGCACAGTCAAACACAGTGCACACATTCTTAGTAGCTTATTTGTGATTTAGGGAATTTTCCCTTTCCAATTTTTTCCCCTTATGTTAGTTCAATAATACCAGGTTACATTGCATCCTGTTATGTCACGCATACATAATTAATTATGCAAATTAGCATGCCCGGTATCCCCCTCTCCCCCTCCTCAAAAAAACAAACAAACTGGCTACATGCTGGATGAGATATTTCAGAGATATCAGAGAGACAGGTGATGTCAGAATGTTTTTCAGACAGCCATGAGAGGTCGTTGGGTGCAAAGAATCAGGGAGCTACACACTGAGATACCAGAAAGACAAGAATAGATCAGAGACCTGCAAGGAGATATCAGATGGGGAGTAGAAAATATTAGACAGGCTGGCAGAGTTAGCAGACAGGTAGAGAAGTCAAACAAGGGACATAAAGAGATTGAGTGTTTTTATACTGACCTACTGCTTCAGGATGGCTACAGATGAGAATTCCTTTTCTCTATATTTAAAATGTTCTTATACCCTCTGGAGCTAATTTTCATTTGTTTATTACTTTACAAAGGCAAAAGCAATTTGGCTGCAGTTTTGGAATCCAAGTCTGGTCTGATTGCCAATCCTTTCAAACATGCCAAAGGTTATAAACAGTGAAGAATAAACCACTGGAAACATCTGTTTAAAGAGGTAGAAAGCCTTTTTTCTGTACTTGAAAAAAAAAAAGAATGAAACACATATCAGTTTCCATCACTTTCCATTATTTCTAAACAAGAAAGTAGAATTTCAAACTTTGCTTCTGCTCATCCTTCCAGTGATCCACAACTTTAGGTGGTGGTTAGTAAATTAATCTGATCAGCATGAGATCTACCATACATGCCTTCTCAGTGCATTGTCTTTGATGGCAGGTTAAACAGGATAAATGGCCTAAATTACATAAGATGTGAGTTCAGATCTTATGGAATCTATAACGGTTTTACTTTTTTAGGTGTAATTTTTTTCAGTTCGTTTTTGACTCATCTAGGAAAAAAACGTTACTTGCGCACTATTCCAAATCCCTGTGCACATTTATATAATACTATAATTATAGTAACTTTTTTCTTTGGTTTACTTTTTACTGTATGTATCGGGGCTGATATGCACTATGGTCATTACTGCCGCCCAGGAGTAGTGGGAGTTTGAGCGCAGGACTTTTTTGTGTGTATTTGTGTTGAACACACCTAACTGGATTCTGTTAAACCCATTGGTTTCATTGAACTAGTACAAACGGTTACAAAAATAATATATTTACATTCTCACAGAATGTTTAGGTCTACTATACTCATAATTTAGAAAAATGACAGGTCAGCAGAATTACTTTCCTCTTTTATACTTATGTTTTTGTGTCTTCATACTTTTTCTTTTGGAATTTCCCAAAAGTGTGACACATTGCTAGAGGCTGTTTTGAAAAATAAATAAAAAATACACATGTATTGGTATATCTGTAACAATTGTGATTTTCTGCCCCATTTCTCTTACACCATACCTCTTCACTGACCGCTAAATATAAAAAAAACTCTGACAATTCAGATCTTATTACGGAAAAGTCGTCCCCTTATATTAGAAACAGGACATACAGCCACCCCTTACTATCTGTTTGATAGAATGGAAGACAAGACAACTGGAAGAATTGATTTACATAGCACAGGACCGCTCCCAATTAAACATAGATATTTGGGCACATTGGCTGACGACTGCCTACAATACTGACTTCTACAGGTTGCTGACATATGAGTCCAGAGGAGAGAAGTGCGCAAAGGAGGGAGGAAAAGTGGGTCACCGCGTGGTGGGATTTCAGATTGCCAGTGGTGAGCGACAGGAACGTTTTAACAGAGTTCTAGGGACGTTGACCTCCCTTGCCTCTGACCTATAGCCCCCTACGTTGAGACACCTTGTTTGAGATGGTATTTAAGATGACCGCAGTCCGATTCTTGGACCTCTTCAAGGCTGGTCCATGGGGGTTATAGAGAAATGCTCTTCTCTGGCCCAGACGGACTGGCAGGAAGATGGAGGGAAGGAGGTGCTATCGTAGTATCTAAGCTAATCTCCTCCCAGTGCTACATCGCTCTTGAAGCATGAGTAGATGGAATTGGTGTAATAAAGGAATACTATAGTCACCTAAATTACTTTAGCTAAATAAAGCAGTTTTAGTGTATAGATCAGGGGTAGGCAACCTACGGCACTAGTGCCATGAACGGCACTCGAGGTGTCTTTGTACGGCACTTAAGGCTGCTAGAGCCAAACGCACTCTGGCCTATCAGGAGTCCCAGTAAAACTTCAGATATCTGCTAATACGAAGAGGTGGTGAAGGACAAACCTCAATTTATGCATTGCAGCACACAGAGGAAGTGATCTCAGATCACTTCCTCCCAGCTATCGCAGCTCCTGTCCTTGACCTGTGCCTGGCCAGCCTGGCCCCCACTGGAACCCACCCACACTGCTAGATATACACAGAAATGTAGAATAACCCTCCCCTCATACAAATAATATGAACAGCCTACACACACACACACACACACAACACACAATCCCCACAAACGCAACACCACTAACAATATACATACATGCACACAACCCCACTTGCAGCCTCTCACATGCAATACCCCAAACAGCCCCCATTCAAATGTATCATACACGATACCACAAACTACTAATGAACATAAACAATATAATAGCTCATATACGCACAAATAAAACGATACAAGCAATTACAGTAAAAATAACACAAGCAGAATACGGCAGCATACACACCTCAATTTAAAAAAATAGGATCGGCACGCTACGGGACATCACAATGCTATATCGGCACAGTGCTGCTAAAAGGTTGCCTACCCCTGGTATAGATCATTCCCCTGCAATTTCACTGCTCAATTCAGTGTCATTTAGGAGTTAAATCACTTTGTTTCTGTTTATGCAGCCCTAGCCACACCTCCCCTGGCTATGATTGACAAAGCCTGCATGAAAAAAAAACTGGTTTCACTTACAAACAGATGTAATTTACCTTAAATAATTGTATCTCAATCTCTAAATTGAACTTTAATCACATACAGGAGGCTCTTGCAGGGTCTAGCAAGCTATTAACATAGCGGGGATAAGAAAATCTTAATTAAACAGAACTTGCAATAAATAGGGCTCTCTTTACAGGAAGTGTTTATGGAAGGCGGTGCAAGTCACATGCAGGGAGGTGTGACTAGGGTTCATAAACAAAGGAATTTAACTCCTAAATGGCAGAGGATTGAGCAGTGAGGCTGCAGGGGCATGTTCTATACACCAAAACTGCTTCATTAAGCTAAAGTTGTTCAGGTGACTACAGTGTCCCTTTTAAAAAGTGTTACATTCAGGGGAGGGCTGGCAGCCTTAGGCCTGGGGGGCAAAACCAGTCAAGAGGCCCATTGCACCACCAAATCAGTGCAATGGTGCCCACCTTTTCCTGGATTTATAACGGATATTGATGTTATGCTAATCAGTAGCTCTTTGCCATACCCTCTCCTTCACGGCTCTGACTTTCAATGTTGTCAGAGCGCAGGCTGAGAATCTCTGAGCCTGTGCTCTGACTCACTAACTGAGCGTCGGAACCATGAGGGAGAGGCTATAATCTGACTGCACCTACTGCTGGTGCGCACCAGTGGACCACCAGCGAATCGTTTAAATTGAATAGGCTGGTGTCCCCAACTTGTGAGCTGTGTTGTCCGCCGGGCGCCTCTGTTGTGATGGCACCCTGCGTGACCGCACAGCGTGCACACCCCAATGGCTGGCCCTGCTGACACACACTGATGTTACTACTTAGAAATCCCTCAATATTAATACAGACAGCAGAGTAAACACCAATAAACTGTGGAAACAGATCTGATCCCACCCAAATTTATAAAGATTTGCTTACTGGATTTGTTGTAAGATTAAATCATGCCTCCTCCCCTCTCTCTCCCATGCGCTGCTCTGTAAGCTGGGAGGAAGTGAAGAGTAATCACAATCTCTCAGCACAGTGGCACCTGTGGCTGCATGGGGAACAGCTGTATTTGCCGCCCCCCATGTGAATCACAATGCCCCACCTATATGAGCTGCCATACGAACTAACGCCAGTGCTGCTCACAGTGTGTGTTTACATTAAAAAGCCTGCAGGGACCGGCTATAGATACCAGAACCACTTCATTAAGCTCCAGTCGTTCTGGGGACTATAGTGTCCCTTTAATGTAATGAAAATTATAGATTAGTGTCACTAATAATATACTAGATTGCCTACTTACAACCAAATGAGGATGATGATGGGCTGCAGTTTGGCTCCACTGGTCTGGTGTAGAACAGGATCTCTGGAGGCTGTTTGCAACTGTGGTCACAAAATTCAATGTTCTGGGAGAATTGGAAGCAGCTCCATTTTTGGGAGGGCCCCTTATACAGCTCAAGGTCTGGGCCCCAGGGCCTGACGGTGAGTATGCCCACAAGGCCCACTCATAAGTCCACTTATATGTTCCACCCACCCATGAGTTCGCTCACAGGGAGTGGAGTGTGTAGGGGATGTGTTATGTGTTATTGTAGAGCAGGGGTTCTCAACGTTAGTCCTCAGGACCCCCTACCAGTCCAGGGTTTAGGGATTACCTGGGTGTGTCTAAGGTGTTTTTTTCCCTTTTTCTAAACACCTGAGACACACCCAGGTAATCCCCAAATCCTGGACTGGTAGCGGGTCCTGAGGACTGGGTTGAGAACCCCTGTTGTAGAGGATCTAATATGTGTGCTTATGGTATGTAGTGTATAGGGATACCAGTTTGTGCAGGTGATGCAGTCTGTTTGTGTGTAGTGGAAGCAGTGTGTATTTGTGTATAAGGGATGTATTGTGTGTTTCTGGTTGTGTGTAAGGGATGCATTGTGTGAATCTGTGTTTGTATGCATAAGGGATGCAAGGTGTGTGTAAGTGTGTGCATTGAGTGTGTGTTAGTGATGCATTGTGTTTCTGTGTGTATGTAAGAAAAGCAGTGTGTGTAAGTATTTGCATTATGTGTTTCTGTGTATGTGTGCAAAGGATGCATTGTCTTTGTGTGTAAGTGTTGCATTGTTTGTGTGTAATGGATGCATTGTGCGTTTCTCTGTGTGTAAGGGAAGCATGTTGTGTTTCTGTGTGTGTAGGGATGCATTGTGTGTGTGTATGTGCGTAGTGTCCTCTCCCCCCTGTGTCCTCCTCACCTCCCTCTCCCTGTGTTCTCCTCACCACCCACCCTCCCTGTGTTCTTCTCAGTCCCCCCTTCTCCTCATCTCCCCTTCTCCTCACTCTTACTCTCCCCCTCCCCCTTGTGTTCTTCTTACTCCACCCTTGTTCTTCTTACCCCCCGTTTTTCATACCCCCCTTCTTCTTCTTACTCCCCCTCCTCCACCTTCTGTTACTCCCCCCTCCTTCACTTACTCCCTCCCTTCACTTACTCCCCCCTCTTTCACTTTCTCCCCCCTCCTTCATTTACACCCCCCATCTTCACTTACTCCCCCCATCACTTACACCCCCCATCTTCACTTACTCCCCCCATCTTCACTTACTCCCCCCATCCTTCATTTACACCCCCATCCTTCATTTACACCGCACTCCTTCATTAACACC